AAAGTGGTTGTTATGAGTTTTTAGTGAATACCGCACTCGTATGACTTTGGATGTCACGATGTCCTAATATTCTTAAAAAATTCTCTGATCATGATATTGACCGGAACTAGCTGGTAATAATACAGCGTGTTGAGAATAGGACCAGTGTAGATGTTGTACACAGTTACTCTATTGTAAGGCACTCTTTTATCAATGATTGATAAAGTTGATATAATACACAGCTCTCTTTGAATGCGGAATTTAAAAGAAATAAAACATGTAACGAATTTTCTAGCATTCCCTGTAGAAAGAAACGACTTTCAGTAAGAAAGATTGCATTGTCTAATAGTAGTTTGTTACTATCATTGGCATCTGTATATATTATACGTGGGGTTTTTTTTTAAAAGAGAGGTATTTTACTGTGAACGATTTCAGACAGCCTCTGCTCTATACGTGTATGGATGTTTCATTGCCATAGAAACAGGAAATTAAATGCAATATATGTGTTTTTGTCTTTGTAACTCGAAACGTGTTTGGCGGTAGATAACATTGTTCAGAAACACACCTGGCAGTTGTTTATGAACATTGAAACACTAGCATAGGTATCCAACACAGGTAAGATGTACACAGTTCTTCATGTTGGCGTTGTTATGGAAACCTGACTAACTGAATCACTAATTATACTAGTTTCCGGGCCTTTGTCATATGGCTCAGTTATACCCTGTACACAGTTCCGGTAACGGTCGATTGCCACTTTTCTTTCTCCGGGTTTAGTTTATGTCTTCGATTCCGTTAGGACGAAAAGGAAACACCTAGTGAATGGGATAATCCTATTGGAAGGTACCCAGTAGTTTGCAGGATCAGGCGTTATTCCGTGAACGTCGGATTGACTTTCGTCATCTTTAATGCTGTTACAAAGAAAGGACTTAACACCAATAGAGTTTTAAGTGCAATAAGGAATAGAAGTGGGATGGAATTAAGACTGTCTTTATTTCGTGGTGTTCCGTATTCCACTTAACATAATCTTTCAATTACAACCGATTCACGTCGGGCCTGTACAATAACGCCCGTAGTTCACTGCCGGTCTTTTCTTCACATACTATAGCAGTTTACAACTGATGAATAATACATAGAAAAGACACAGTAAATAAAAAAAGTAACCCGATCACAAAATCAATCCTTTTATATATTTCCCCGTCTTAATGTAGAGAGAAACTTTATGAAATTTCGTATAATATACATTTTTGTATAGGTTGTTACAAATTTTATTTGTCAAGAATCATTAACAATGTGAAGCGGAAGATTCAACTAATGGTATTCATTGTATTGACTTCAAGAAAAAAAATCCAATGTAGAATTTCGTTAAGAACAACCCTTTGATTTTTTCTCCTTTTCTGTGTATATCATCGTTTCCCCTTCTATTCTGTTTCTTTCCTTCTTGTGCTTCTGTGCTCATTCTTTTCTTCGCTCTGGTCCGAATTTTGTTGAAGTAACTGTACATTTCACCCCTCCCCCTTCCCATCTACTCCCCTCTATCCCTTTTTGAAACTGCCTTACTGCATCATTTCGTCAAAAGTGTACTTTCTCTCCAGATCATACAAACCTATTCAAAATTACATCTCTCATACTCTACTATAAACCCCCCATTTCTGTACAGCGATATGAAGTAAAACGAATGGTCTGATTTAAAAGTGAATACACACTCAAATAGCTTTTCGTAAATATCAATATCAGACACCTGTTTTGTTTTAATCTAAGACGTACTTGATTTGTCCAGCAACTTTTATTGATATACAATGTATATTCAAATGTTAGATATCCCGGTAATGTCCACCAGCTCCCTGATCGGAACAAGACGTATTCCCATGGTGAGGAGGAAACCTCCTCTGTTGTTTCTGGTTTACGTCGTTCGCGTCCTTCCAACCAGGTTAAAAATTATCTGGTCCTTCTTTGAAAACATAAAGTTAAAACTTGTGTTTAAACGGGTTTTTGGGATATTTGAAGGTCCTGGACAGTGTTCTTAAACGTCTACCCACAATGCATAACCGGATGTGACTCATCACTATGCTTTACTTATCCTTTAAGAGAGTATAACCATCATTTGATGATGTTGTTCCACTGACAGCCTATTTCCTTTATAAAATAATTTGCTACAAGAGGCTGCCAAATATGAATTAATATGAATTAAGTTTGTGACCTTGCCTGGGTTGAAAATAAACAGAGAGTCACCCTACTGGTTTCTCTTTGGTTGTTGGAACCCTAACATTAAAACTAGTTAGCCCTAGATTATAAAAGACCTACATTCCCTTACGACCAAATGGAATGTTGACTTCTAATAAACATGTATGGGTAATTTTTCTCAGTGACATAGGCGTTTACCTATTAATAAGTGGTATTAATTCATATCACTTAGATTTCGCGAGTAATTTATATCGCGAACTTGCCTCCTCAGTTTTTTTCGTGAAAACATGATTTCGCGAACGCTGATCTAGAAATGACTTAAATACCTGAATGATGAGCTATAAGAGGCATGGATTCTTCAAGGCGAATATATTTGTTACCTACTCATCATGGTTGCCATCCAAAGTTATTTTCGTACAAACAATAGAGATTGATTTGAATTCCTGATTGACTCTCCTCGCGAAAATAAATCCCACACGAAATGTAAGTAATTTACAGTATATTCTATCACATATTCACACTCACAGGATTAAACTCGTCTCGTAAAATCACAAATGAAATAAACACATTTAAGATCGTGTATATTTCCAAAGTATTTAGTAGGATGAATTGGATTATCACTCCAGAGAAATAATCTGTATTCTGAGAAGTCAGTGAAATAAGATAAGGGACTTAAAGCATTTTTGAAAACTGTTTTATGATATTTATTCAATGTCAATGCGATTAAACTGAACTGGACATATTCCGTGAAATTATGTCTCAAACATTCTTACAACATGGCCGAATGAGTATGCATGTCAGTGAAGAATCTAGAGGAGTTCAATTAGAAAGACGCACGAAGAATCAAAAGGATTTCAAAATATGATTGGATGTTACGTGGTTGCGGGGACTTAGATGTAGATGTAATTTTAAGTTCCTGTTGATTGAGATGACTTTCTCGTTATGTGGAGATCAGGTGCTGTGATGTAGAGGGATATATGAATGTGGAACTCACTACACTTATCTCTGTCAGTGATAACCCTACCAGATGAAATTATATAAGATCGCACACATGTTGAAGAACGTTTAAAATGGGTTATCTCATTGAATGATTCTACAGAAGTTCCGTTAAGTTGGAAACAGCATGTGTACTGACTAAACTAAACTACTGACATGCGGGTGTGACTTAAAACTACATAAATATACGAGATACATTTTACACCTAAAGGTGGAAGTTGTCAAGTTGTTAGTCAGTATTCACCCGAAGGGTTTTCGTTACCAGAATAAAAGAAACACAGTTAAACGGGTTGTCATAGATACAGGTATATAGATGGTTGTTGTTTGTGTGACGGGTTGTCATAGAGACAGCTATATAGATGGTTGTTGTTTGTGTGACGGGTTGTCATAGAGACAGGTATAGAGATGGTTGTTGTTTGTGTGACGGGTTGTCATAGAGACAGGTATATAGATGGTTGTTGTTTGTGTGACGGGTTGTCATAGAGACAGGTATATAGATGGTTGTTGTTTGTGTGACGGGTTGTCATAGAGACAGGTATATAAATGGTTGTTGTTTGTGTAACGGGTTGTCATAGAGACAGGTATATAAATGGTTGTTTGTGTGACGGGCTGTCATAGATACAGGTATATAGATGGTTGTTGTTTGTGTGACGTGTTGTCATAGAGACAGCTATATAGATGGTTGTTTTTTGTATGACGGGTTGTCATAGAGACAGGTATATAGATGGTTGTTGTTTGTGTGACGGGTTGTCATAGATACAGGTATATAAATGGTTGTTGTTTGTGTGACGGGTTGTCATAGAGACAGGTATATAGATGGTTGTTGTTTGTGTGACGGGTTGTCATAGAGACAGGTATATAGATGGTTGTTGTTTGTGTGACGGGTTGTCATAGAGACAGGTAAAAACAGTTTTATTTCAACTAGTACTGTTGCATATCTTCTCCTCTTTTCTTCAATCGTTGAAGGACTTTAAATCTCTGTTATAAATATTGCTATTCATTACCATTGCTGTTCCTAATGAACAACTCACGATTAATTGTGTCTAGTTAGTAGTAATTGATCAGAATGAGTATAGGAATCTGTTGTTTTGATCAACTACAAATGGTTATGACCTCACTACCTAGACTAAGAACCGAGCCATCAGTAAACCATAATTACAGGCTTCTTATAATCAATGTGTCTGGGAGTTTTTTCATGTTTTCCCCCAAATTCCTTTACCAGATCTGAAGAGACAATCGATTTCATAAAAAGGACCTCTAAATATGATGTTTATATACTCTGTGTGATGATAAAAACATATCTAACCGAGCATTGTCAGATTGTAAATTCTTCCAGATATCCGACATTTTTTCGATAAGTTTGGACCGCTTATACAAGACATAAATTTTGAAGTCCTTTAGAACCAAGAGTAGCATTTAGATATTAATTCCGTGAATTTGTTAAAGAATTCAATTGTCATGTAATTTTCTATTTCAATAGCAACACTAAACACGAACTGACTGCAGTAACATGTGTACAATAAATAAGACATCACGCAGGAACATGTCCACATTTTATCGTTACAGCCAACGAAACATCATCTACCCATCGCGAATAGTTATGTTCCTCTGCTGTCGCGAGATTGTCATACCACAAAGCATTGCTCGTTTGCCTGGCCATATATCATCCAGACTATATGATCATATGCACGTGTACATCTTTATATATTCCAATTAATTATGTTAGTGAGAAAGTGATAAATACAGCGAGACTGGCATTGCACGTGTCAAGTAATGACCTGGAAGCCGAACAACATAGAGTTGTGTACATACTACCCACTAACACCAGTTTCATTCCTTGACAGACCTGGATGGGTGCGGTAGGGAGACGGAACCGTTTTGGATACGAATTGTGATACGATGACCACGAAGCACGCACGCAACTCGCCATGGTGTATTTACCAAATCTAAGTGAGTACATTTATTTGATATGCTTTTGATAGAGTTACATATCTCTATTTATTCAAATCTTTCTTAATGTTCCTCGCCATTTTCCTAGCTAATTATCTAATTGCATTTTCTGACTTCCCTCCTTGGTAGTGTTGTTGGTTTCCTGCGGGTACACCTTTTGCCGTAGTTAGGAAGCCAGAAGAAACCCTTGCTGGCTATGATTTAATTTGCTAATGTAACGTAGTGAGCCCAGTCATCACCTTATTATGGCTACAGTGGCTGGTGATCTACCATCCTATCTAGCTCGTTATATACAGCGTTATTTTGATTTGGCCTGGGAATATGACGGACGTTTCCTCTCTATCATAACTATTGTTAAATTGATCAGAGCTAAAAAAGTCATTCGGAGAACGGCAGCTCTTGGAGACAATAACGACACAGTAAGTGTTTGTGTTAGATATTATCTTTAAAATAGTATCGTCACTGCTGACTGCATTACAATATTTTCAGAAATAAGAATGAACGGGTTTCGTGGCAAGTTTGTATATGTATCAGTGTTGATATATCTTAACGTAAGTTTTGTCGGGATGAAGATATTTACACATTTAAACATTTACTGAGATGCGAGGGTAAACATTTATATTGAGATGTGAGTGTGTGTACACATTTATACTGAGATGTGAGGGTGTGTACACATTTATACTGAGATGTGAGGGTGTGTACACATTTATACTGAGATGTGAGGGTACATAGTTATATTGAGATGTGAGGGTACACAGTTATTATGAGAGTAGGTACACAGTTATATGAGAGTAGGTACACAGTTATACTGAGATGTGAGGATACACAGTTATACTGAGATGTGAGGGTACACAGTTATACTGAGATGTGAGGGTAGATACACAGTTATACTGAGATGTGAGGGTACACAGTTATACTGAGATGTGAGGTTACACAGTTATACTGAGATGTGAGGGTAGATACACAGTTATACTAAGATGTGAGGGTAGGTACACAGTTATACTGAGATGTGAGGGTAGGTACACAGTTATACTGAGATGTGAGGGTAGGTACACAGTTATACTGAGATGTGAGGGTAGGTACACAGTTATACTGAGATGTGAGGGTAGGTACACAGTTATACTGAGATGTGAGGGTACACAGTTATACTGAGATGTGAGGGTACACAGTTATACTGAGATGTGAGGGTACACAGTTATACTGATTTGTGAGGGTAGATACACAGTTACACTGAGATGTGAGGGTACACAGTTATACTGAGATGTATGGGTTGGTACACAGTAATACTGAGATGTGAGGGTAGGTACACAGTTATACTGAGATGTGAGGGTACACAGTTATACTGAGATGTGAGGGTAGATACACAGTTACACTGAGATGTGAGGGTACACAATTATACTGAGATGTGATGGTAGGTACACAGTAATACTGAGATGTGAGGGTAGGTACACAGTTATACTGAGATGTGAGGGTAGATACACAGTAATACTGAGATGTGAGGGTAGGTACACAGTTATACTGAGATGTGAGGATACACAGTTATACTGAGATGTGAGGGTACACAGTCATACTGAGATGTGAGGGTAGGTACACAGTTATACTGAGATGTGAGGGTAGATACACAGTTATATTTAGATGTGAGGGTACACAGTTATACTGAGATGTGAGGGTAGGTACACAGTTATACTGAGATGTGAGGGTAGGTACACAGTACAGATTTGTCTTACAAAGGATGATATTTCCCAGGTATATACATGTCTTACAAAGGATGATATTTCCCAGGTATAGACATGTCTTACAAAGGATGATATTTAGCGGGAACAGACATGTCTTACAAAGGATGATATTTCCCAGGTATAGACATGTCTTACAAAGGATGATATTAGCGGGAACAGACTTGTCCTCAGGATAGATAATATTTTCTATTACCTTTAAAGGGAGAATTTTTCCAAATATTTTCAAAGTGAGTTTGTATAATCTTAGCAGTAAACATGTTTTACGGCACACACTGAAACATCGTTGTTTACACAACTTCAAAAAATATAGGGAATTAAAATGCAATGATTACGACTTCAGATTAAAGAGAGGTGTTACGGTTGTATAGTATCGATGAAAGTTTTAAAATAATCTTTTTTTAAGACCACGAAAGAATGCACTCACTAACAGGGTTGTATTATTTCTTATAGTATAGACTTAGCCCGAACATCCCTAGAAAAAATAGATAAGTTATAACTCTAGAGGGGTATCGGAAATTATATCAAAGATGTTTATATGAATTATCTGACTGCACAAATCCGACATATTAGATAAGATGTTAAATTGGTACTTGGATAAAGATTAAACGAACAAAAAATATTGAATTGAATTTTAATACACTTTGATGACTGTCTTTTCCAACAGATGTACGTTTGCCCTGTTAAATCTATTACTTTCAATTCACTGGAAATAATTCACTGTCTCCGGTTTATTGACAATTTATACAAAAAGTGATCGTTCAAATCCTTACACAAGAGTGCTCATGTACGTTGATTTTTAAGCCGGAAATTGAAGTTGAATTAGTGATTTGAGAATTGTCAGTGCACTCTGGAACTCAGATTTCACCAACTAATGTAGGGAATAAACGAGAACGCTTTCGTGATGTTTTCATTTTTGTCACCTACAGCTTTAACGTGGATAAAAAATCGATAATGTTTCATTTTGATTTTACGCAACACTTCAAAAAATAAAACCAACAATCCAACCATTTTAACAAGAAGTATTACGACGACACCGGAAAATGAAGTAATTACTTGACTAGAATTTGAAACTTGAAAACTGTCTTTTCCACCCCCTGTGTATTTCTCCTTCCGTGCCTCACCGTCTCTGTCCGTTGTTGTACCATGATGTGTTATCAGTTTGTATATACGTGTAACAGTGCCAATTTTTGAATTAATATAAGTACAAAGACCTTGTTTTTGAAACCTTCATTATGATAATGTACATTGTATATAGATATTATTTCATTGTGATATACTCATCTTATGTACTCCTCTGATAAGTGAAAAACTCCAGCAATATTATAATTTTTTTTTCGTTATAATTTTTTGAAAAGCTATATTTTAGAAACTGGTTTTAAAACCCAAAACGCAATATTTTGCAACATTTTTTTCCGATACAGACGTCAGAATGTGTGTAACAGGAAATAATTCATTTTCACTTATCAATCTTAATGTTTTCCTGAATAACAGATATTTTTTGCTATTTTCGCAGCGAACTTTAACTTTAAAAAAAATCGTCATATATAGCAGATTTTTTTTTAGCTTATTAAGTACAACTACTGAAAACGCAGTACAAACATACATTAAAGATTAATTACGTTGGAATTTCATTTAATATTGAATTATCTTCCCCTTGTTTGTAATTTATTGGAAATGGTAATATATTTGTTCCGATTACTGTCTATATCGATTTCCCTAGATCAGGAAAGGTCAAAGGTCACCTGATTTCTTTTATTCGTATCTATGCCGATACCAAAAGTCCAAAAACTGACAGTTGATGGACGGGAACTACTGTGATTTGAGCCTGTGTACTGATAAAATATTGAATTGGCGTTGATTTTATGAAATAATTGAAAAAAAATCATGGAAGATAAAGGTAGGTTGCAATTGTGAGCTTCAGAATTAGATAACTGTGTTCCTTGTGTAACCAGACACATCGGAGGGCAGGCAATCCATGCTAACGATGTCAGTATTACGTTTATAACTGCGTACATACAGATGTGATTCAGGCACAAGTGATTGTGTTAACTCTGTTCACGATAAATGCCAGAGAAAACTTTTATTCAATTTTAGATATGGTTCTCTGCCTTTGAAATCGAAAACCGTTGGCGCGCCCGACCAGCGATTCTTGTGACCAAATTTTGTCTACATTGTGCAATGTTGATATAGAAAATGAGTAAGTCATTTTAATGGATCGCAGAAAACGAGCAACCGGTTTTAAAAGGTTGTAGAAAACAGTAACTAGTTTTGATGGATCGAACAAAACGAGTAACATGCTTTAACGGATTGTAGAAAAAAGGAGTAACCCCATGTAACGGATTGTAGAAAAGGAGTAACCCCATGTAACGGATTGTAGAAGAGGAGTAACCCCATGTAACGGATTGTAGAAAAGGAGTAACCCCATGTAACGGATTGTAGAAAAGGAGTAACCCCATGTAACGGATTGTAGAAAAAGAGTAACCCCATGTAACGGATTGTAGAAAAGGAGTAACCCCATGTAACGGATTGTAGAAAAAGAGTAACCCCATGTAACGGATTGTAGAAAAGGAGTAACCCCATGTGATGGAATGTAGGAAAAGAGTAACCCCATGTAACGGATTGTAGAAAAGGAGTAACCCCATGTGATGGAATGTAGGAAAAGAGTAACCAGTTTTAATGAGTTGGGTATAATATGAACAAGTGTTATGTTGGAGCCAGATATCTTACACGGAGAAGTTTTCTTACATAGTGTCTTTGTGATATGAATCGTACCTATTCAAAGTATCATTAAATTCATCATGGACGAAATGATTGTAGATCAATATTCAGTCCGTGTTCAATGCAGTGTCATTTCTCAATGTTAGCTACGTACTTCAATATGTTACGTGTCTCGGAAGCCAGATTTGGCAGGGCATATCATGCGATGTTTTTGATTTTTTGAATATTACAAATGTATGCTATGTGTTTGATCAAATGTTATTTGAACTGGACTTTTGAATCTCTGGGCGCTTGACAGGGATTACGGTTCACTCGGAATTGCTTTTAATTTTTTTATAAAAGGGAGGCTTATATACTAAAAAGGAGAACATATTGTCGTAGATAGGAATCGACAATGTTTTATCCTAATACATTATATGTATACAGTAAATAACAACATGATCTGGTTGCTAATGTCAATGGCCCAAAAACAGTAATATCACCCAAGATTTTCAATATTTGTCTATCTCTTGTGAGAGTGTTTAGGTCACATGACCGGGTGTAGGG